AAATCAGCCTATTTCCATTTCAATTTGAAATATTCTCACCATCCCCCAATCTCCTTGCCTGCTGGGGAGTCAGTGCTCATTGACTGGCAGCTTGAGGTCTAATACCCAATTTTGCAAAGAGGTCCAAGCCAAATGTCAGGAGCCTTAAACTTCCAGGGGCAAAACTCAGCCAGAGAGAGACGCATACCCCCTTTGATAGTTTGAGGGCTTCAAAAAGTGCATTTGCAGAGGCTACAGGTCCCTGGTGCTTCCTAGGTACTCATCTGGCCATGAGAATCACCTGGGAGGCCTGGGCTTCCCTCCTGATCAGCCCAACCAGTCCCTGGGCCCAGGTGAGCATGGTTTTCAAAGCTCTCCAAGTGATTCCAAAGTGCATCTGGGCCTAAGAACCACAGATCAGGGCAGCAGCCAGCCCTGTGGGGAAGAACCAAGCACCCGGAAGCACCTGCTGCCTGCTGAGGGCATTTAAGCCTGACCCAGGGGCCAGAGGCAGCGGTTTCCTGCCAGGTAAGTAAGGGATGGATGTCGGGGCTCTCAGAGTGTTTCTCTGAGCCCTCTGTCTGGGTGTTGATTGCTTTTGTTCAGACAGTGAGCCAGGTGGCTGTTGGGGTTCTTCAGGGAGGCTACGGTGGCCTTGTCCTTAACAATGGAGGTGGCTTTCATGGTCCTCTCCAAAGCTGGGCAGCCTGACCCACAGGGCAATTCTAAAAAGTCCCAGGCTGCCGTGTCCCCTTGTTGGAATCAGCCTTGACTTATAGACACGGTGCTAAGTGGCTCTTGGCTTCTGTTTCAGGATGAATATGGAGGAAGGAGACGTTGTTAGGTGTCTAGTTTGCTGAGCCCGGACATGGGCTTGCAAGGATCTTGGAGTAAGTCTAACCCACAGCGAGCATAGACCTGAGCGCTCCTATACTACTAAAGTTCCTAAGCTTTAGAACAATGCTTCTTGGCGCAAGGCCTTGGCTTGTGCTCCCTCAAAAGGAGATTTTTCCTCAAAACACTTTCACCTGTGGGAAGTGTCCACTCATCCAGCCCCCTCCCAAGTAGCACCTCCTTAGCCGGGAGGCCTAATCGCCCAGGTACAGGGCCTGATCTCCCCCCTCCTTCCTGGGTATTACCTGCTTCCCCTTTGAGGAGCTCTGGAGGAAGGTGCTTGCTGTGTGTTTCCTGGCCTTGAACTAGGTGTCTGGAACTCACAGGGTGTCTTGTCCATGTTGGCAAAGCCCCTTGAGGAGCCAAAGAACAATGAGAGGGGGTTCCTGTCCCAGGGATGCCACCTCTCCCTGGACCCCCTACTGACACTGGGCAGTTGCTGTCCTTTTGTGTCCCCAACTCCACCTAGCCCCAGCCGTGGAACCCGTATACCTCAGGGGCTTTGGAGCAGAGGTGGCATGAATCCCTCAAGCTCTTCTTCATGGGGAATAAGCCTCACCGGCTCCCACTCAATGGATGATTTGAGCTTAATTAAACCCAATCCTGCTTTGAAGAAATGGCTGTTGGTGATGTAGAGCTGAACACACCAAAGTCAAACAGCGTCCCAGGTACAGATGAGTAGATGTGATGCAAGACAGGGTGTCCATCAAGATCCCCTGTATAATGAGCACATGCAGAGCAGGGCATTGGTTTTATCTATATATATATATATAATTTTGGTGCTGGGAATTGAATCCAGGAATGCTTTACCAAACAGCTAGCCACCCCCAACCCTTTTGAGACAGGGTCTCACCAAGTTAAGCAGGCTGACCTCCAACCTGTGGTCCTCCTGTCTTGGCCTCCCAAGTTGTTGGGATTGCAGGCATGCACCACCAAGCCCAGCTGGCAGTTTTTAAAGGTGAACTTGCAGGAGGAGTGGAGATATTGGGACCTAAGGCTTAGTGTTTTTCTGAACTACAGATGGTCCCCAATTTAGGATGATTTGACTTAGCGATGTCTCCACTCTATGGTTTTACATTGATACAAAAATGTTACTCATTTAGTAAAAACTCTGCTTCTGAATTTTAATCTTTCCTTGGGCTAGACAGCTTTCTTTAGTACAATGTTTCTTTAGGATCCTGGGCATCGGCACATGGGATCATAAGGGTAAACAACTGACATTGTTCTCTGGAGTGCACTCTATTCAATACATTGCATGAGAAATTCAATCCTTTTTATAAAAATAGACTTTGTTAATTCAAACTAATGTAAGTTGAAGGTAGGCTAGGCTAAGTTTAGGTGTATAAAATGCATTATTATAATAATAATTATTAATTTTGGTACCAAGGATTGAACCCAGGGGTACTTAACCACTGAGTCACATCCCCAGCCCTTTTTATATTTTATTTAGAGTCATGGTCTTGCTAAATTGCTTAGGGCATTGCTAAGTTGTTGAGGCTGGCCTTGGACTCCCAATCCTCCCACCTCAGCCTCTCGAGCCACTGGGATTACAGGCGTGTGCCAACATACCCAGGTATAAAGTGCATTTAAATGTGTATTTTCAACTTAGGATGGGTTTGTTCAGTTGTGAGCCCATTGTAAGTTGGAGTATTGTATTTATATTCTTTTAAAGCCCCATGAGTATATTACTTTAAAATCTAAAAAAAATTACTATATAGAAGCCAACTCCTGGATGATAAGACATGTCTTAATTTAAAATGGTTCTTGGTTCATGAAAGATGCTCACTGTAAAAGCTTGGCTAAATTTAGAACAGTACAGGAAAAACAAAACTGCCTGAAATGCCCCAAACAGAGAGAGTTACTCAATGCCATTAATAAGACTTGGAAGTTCCCAATGTCCCCTTATACAAAAGGATTCAAAGGGCAAGAGCTGCTTGGGTGCCTGGGTGACCTTGAATGTGCCCAAGGTTCCTTGGCTGTCTCTCTGCCACCTGCCACCCAGCAGCAGTGCTGGCCCAAGACTCCAGGAGTAGAGAGCCCCTCAGTAGGTGACATTTGCCTGCGTCACCAGTGTGGCTTTCTCTGGATTTCAGACATTGGCAAACTGATGAAGTAAGGTCTTATCTGATTTTTGCACATGTCTCAAAGCCTCTGCCTTGGCCCTGTCATGGTGCTGGTGGGGAAGCACACAGCCAGCTGTCCTGGGGGCCTGCAGATCACAATGTGAGGGCAAGGAACACAGGTGTTGAACTAGGGAAAACTGAGAGCAAGGATCGGCTTTGCAGCTGATTTTACAGCTAAGATTACTCCTGTCATCAGGAAATGATCTGGCTAGATCTGTGGCTTTCAAATGCTCCCCAAAGATGTCCCAGGATTAGGAGAGCACCCTCTGATTGGCAGATGAGCTTTCTGTGTTATCTCATATTTGGTTTCAAAGGAAGGAGGCAAACACCTAAACCACCAAAGTTATAATTGCACCTTCTAGAAGAGGGCAGGGGGATGAGTGCCTTGGGGGCTCTCCAGAAGCAGAAGCCATTCTTTGTCCCTAACTAACCTCTTACTTTATGCATATTTGGGGATACTTACGAGCTGAGAGCTGTACCTCGAACAGTGGGGAGAGGCAAGGGGGCAGCACATGGCAGAGAGTTTTCAGAAAAGGATTCCATTATTCCCGTTGCTTAAAATGGTCACTTTCCCATCTTCCAACCTCTAGCCCCACACGTCTAGGGCCACTCACAGGGGTAACTTCCTGCCTTCCTAATCAGACTTGGTTACAGGTTATCGGCTGCCAGGTTTAGATGAATGCACATGTCAGATCCAGGCTGAAGTTCTCGTTCTGATACTTTGCATCTCTGGGAACTTAGGGAGATGTCTGAGATGGTTCGTCCACCTTAGTGATAGATGTTTGAACTTTCTG